GTGATGATTAACACATTAATTTACACTATTTCTATTCATGAATTAATACATGATGATGCATTTAATTAATCATATATTTGCTGATACAGTAATCATCAGTTAATGGTTTAGTTCTTCTTGAGTCATACATTAAAACATGATTATCTGTGCATTAGTTAAACATTAGATGAACGCATATTACACTGTAAAGGTTTTAAGTGCAATCAACTTAGACATTTAAGTCATTTCAACTTAAATTACATTACACTTAATTTTTTTTTTTTAATTGCTTAACTTGTTTTGTTGAGTTAAAGCAATGTAAAAACATGTTCTCATAACTTATTAATCATACAGTATGTTACTTCTTTAGCTATCACAACTTGCTTTTGGCAAGTTTAAACTGTAATACGTCTTGAGAATTCAACTGGGAATACTGTATATCTAAGATGGTAAAATAAAGCCAGGTAATGGCCTGACCTTTTTCTCTCAGTCGTGGGTCTGTTTTCACTTTGATGGCTTGCTAATTATGTTCATTTGGATAACGAGTCTTCAAATAGATCCGTGTAAATGGCTACCAATTCATGCACTCTTCTCTGCACTGTTTGTTTAGCCCTAAAAGCTTTAATTAGCCTATTTTTATAAGACCTCACACACTTTTATTGAGCAGAAGGGGAAGATAAAGCCCTCATGCTTTCATTTGGGATGCCAGAAATAGCTTCATCCCTTTGTGACAGGTACTCTAATAAGAAATTACCCATCAATAGACCAACACTGAGGAGAAATCCTATCTAACATGTCTGTCTAAGGACATTATTGTTTCCTTAAGCATTTTGTCTCCTATAACCCACTAATGCGATACTTTGCATTTAGATTCAGGCTCGTCTGTCTCTCTGTAGGCAGAATTTATTATCAATCAGGTGATGAATATATTTGGTCTTCCAAGGTCACCGCCTCAGTAAGCCATGTTAAAACCTTTTCTTTCCTATTTTCTATAGATATAGCTTAACGGAAACCTTAGCAATTTGTCTAGGCTCATCAGCTTGTCTGTACAAAGAGAGCTATTCATTATACATAATTTACAAAAAGTCCCAGTCCCAGTACATTAAGCAAGGTTAAGCCTTTTTTTCATATTTATGTAGGATTCTATGAGGAGATCATTTTAACTTACATAACTTAGTATAGTTTTTCTCTGTGGATTATAATGTTGGAAGTGGAATTATTGGGTCTTCGAGTCAATGACACGTCAAAAAATATATTATTCAGAAATGTAATTTATATACTGCCCCTAGTCTTTTGTAATGAGCATTTCTTTACTTTTTAAAATATGTTTTTGGATCCCCCAATCAAACATGCTGGGTTGTTTCAACCCAAATTTGGGTAAAATTTGGACAAACCCAAATATTGGGTTAAAAATGTAATTAAAAAAATGTACAGTTGAAAGTGAAAGTTGAAGTTGGGTTAAAATTTTTAAATACATTTTTAACCCAACATTTTAATGTAACATAATGTAATTATTTTTAGTTAATTTATAGTTTAGTTTAATATATATATATATATATATATATATATATATATATATATATATATATATATATATATATATAAGAGCACATTCTATACAACTAAGCACTTTTTTCCCCACAGAGTATGCACATTCAGGCCATATGCTAAGTGTACACTGACCGATGCTGGGTTGTTTTAACCCAACTTTGGGTCAAATATGCACAAACGCGAATGTTGGGTTAAAAATATAATTTAAAAATGTACAGTTGAAAGTGAAAGTTGAAGTTGGGTTCAAATTTTAAATTACATTTTTAACCCAACATTTGGGTTTGTCCATATTTGACCAAAAGTTGGGTTAAACCCAGCATTGTTTAGAGTGTTGCAGATGTTAAAAAAAACCCCATGCTAACATGCTATCTTGTTAAATACAAGCGATTACAGATGGATGGGCATTGAAATGTGCATTTTTGTACACTGTGTACATGAATGTGAATCTCTACTCTGTTAGCTTTTAAGATTACAATCTAAAATGCTGGGTTATTTCAAACCAACTTTGGGTCAAATATGGACAAACCCAGCCATTGGGTTAGACTTTTAAATTGCATTTGGGTTTGTCCATATTTGACCCAAAGTTGGGTTAAACCCAGCATTGTTTAGAGTGTTGCAGATGTTAAAAAAAGAAAAAACCCATGCTAACATGCACTCTAAAAAATGCTGGGTTGTTTTAACCCAACTTTGGGTCAAATATGGACTAACCCAGCCGTTGGGTTAAATTTTTACATTACATTTTTAACCCAACATTTCGGGTTTGTCCATATTTGACCCAAAATTGGGTTAAAACAACCCAGCATTTTTTAGAGTGTGCTATCTTGTTAAATACAAGCGATTACAGATGGATGGTCATTGAAATGTACATTTTTGTACACTGTCTACATGAATGTGAATCTCTACTCTTTTCTAATCAAACATTTATGTTAGCTTTTAAGATTACAATCCAAAATGCTGGGTTATTTCAAACCAACTTTGGGTCAAATATGGACAAACCCAGCCATTGGGTTAGACTTTTAAATTGCATTTTGAACCCAACATTTGGGTTTGTCCATATTTGACCCAAAGTTGGGTTAAACCCAGCATTGTTTAGAGTGTTTCAGATGGTTAAAAAAAAAAAAACATGCTAATGTGCTTGTTAAATACAAGCGATTACAGATGGATGGTCATTGAAATGTACATTTCTGTACACTGTGTACATGAATGTGAATCTCTACTCTTTTCTAATCTAATCAAACATTTATGTTAGCTTTTAAGATTACAATCTAAAATGCTGGGTTATTTCAAACCAACTTTGGGTCAAATATGGACAAACCCAGCCATTGGGTTAGACTTTTAAATTGCGTTTTGAACCCAACATTTGGGTTTGTCCATATTTGACCAAAAGTTGGGTTAAACCCAGCATTGTTTAGAGTGTTGCAGATGGTTAAAAAAAAAAAAAAAATGCTAATGTGCTTGTTAAATACAAGCGATTACAGATGGATGGTCATTGAAATGTACATTTCTGTACACTGTGTACATGAATGTGAATCTCTACTCTTTTCTAATCTAATCAAACATTTATGTTGGCTTTTAAGATTACAATCTAAAATGCTGGGTTATTTCAAACCAACTTTGGGTCAAATATGGATAAACCCAGCCATTGGGTTAGACTTTTAAATTGCGTTTTGAACCCAACATTTGGGTTTGTCCATATTTGACCCAAAGTTGGGTTAAAACAACCCAGCATTGTTTAGAGTGTTGCAGATGTTAAAAAAAAACCCATGCTAACATGCTATCTTGTTAAATACAAGCGATTACAGATGGATGGTCATTGAAATGTACATTTTTGTACACTGTGTACATGAATGTGAATCTCTACTCTTTTCTAATCAAACATTTATGTTAGCTTTTAAGATTACAATCTAAAATGCTGGGTTATTTCAAACCATCTTTGGGTCAAATATGGACAAACCCAGCCATTGGGTTAAACTTTTAAATTGCATTTTGAACCCAACATTTGGGTTTGTCCATATTTGACCCAAAGTTGGATTAAAACAACCCAGCATCGGTCAGTGTACACTTAGCATATGGCCTGATTGTGCATACTCTGTGGGAAAAAAAAGTGCTTAGTTGTATAGAATGTGCTCTTATACATATAGTTTAAACTAAACTATAATTTTATTAAAAATATAATTACATTAAATAAAATGCTATTCACATATTCTGTCATGGTCGTTTGCAGCAGAGATAAAGCAGGATCTACAGGTGAAAGTAGATTTATTTCAGTAATTCACCTTAAAAGGTGAAACTAATATATTGTATAGACTCATGTGACAAAGACCTATGTAAGTTACCCCTGATGGCAGTGTTTGTTTGGTTTATATTATTTCTATAAATGTTTGTTTCTCATTCTAGTCTGAGGTGCACATTAGACTGATAAAAAAGACCAAGAGATTTGTTTCTTTATTTTCTTTATTTTGGTATTTACATAAATCATTAGTTTTATCCTCATTTTCAAAACTTACCTTCTGGGTTCACGTCTGCAGCATGGCTTCCGGAAGTGGGTGTCTAAGAGGACGCGCGGCCTTCCTGTTCCTCCTTTTATGCCATCCCAAAGAATTCTGGGTAGTGTAGGCATAGTCCATTTCTCAATGGGAGAAGGGGGTTCTTGTTTCACGTTTTATTGTGTTTATGTTCATTGTATGTAGAAATGTATCTGTTTATTATTTGTATTATTTTCCTTGTATAATTAAGGTTGATGTATTTTGAATATTATTTTCATTTTCAGTGTAGTTATGTATTATGTATGTGAACATTATTTAAATTCCCTATTACTGTAAAATGGTTGACCCTTTCAGTATAAATGAATGTATGTTTGTCTGTGAAAGCAGTTCTGGTGAGGGACCTTCGTGAGGAGGGTCACCTTGAGTCTTATGTTATTTTTTATTCTTTATTTGGAAGTCATTAAAAAGATTTCACTGACTGCAAGCAGTGTCTCCTGCCTTTGCTCTGGTCATGTCTTAACAACTCATTACATGCGAAGTGAGATATTTCAAGCCTTTATTTGTTATAATGTTGATGATTATTGCTTACAGCTTATGAAGTGTCTAGAAACATTACATTCATTTTGCCCTTAAATGAGTTTTGCTGATAATTTACTCACCTCCATGTCATCCAAGATGTCCATGTCTTTCTTTCTTCACTGATGGTGTTGTTTAAAGCCTTTTGAAGCTGCACTGAAACTCTCATTTGGACGTTGAACCGTTTGGTTCCCATTGAAGTCCATTATATAGAGAAAATCCTGGAATATTTCCATCAAAAACGTTCATTTCTTTTCAACTGAAGAAAGAAAGACATGGACATCTTGGATGACATGGGGGCGAGTAAATTATCAGTAAAAGATTTTTTAAAAGTGAACTACTCCTTTAAATGTTATTCCCGTAATAAGTATTTTTAGAAGTAATTGTGCTTTATTGCTCTTTTTACAGGTATTGATCCAGACGTGATATATAGGACAATCCTGAAGTTTTGTCGTCATGGCTGAGCATTTTAGTAAGTATTGTTTCACATTTTACTCCTCTTTGGAAACTACCTTCTGACTGATCACTATGCACTCAGCTCATCCTCTGCAGGATTAAGACACTTTAATTGATGTTGTGCAATTCATTTGCATTGTACGTCTTGATTAAGGTCAGCAAAATCCACTTTTTTTTTGGCTAGACAGCACAACCTGAGGCACATTTTAAATGAGCTGGGGAAAAAAGTGGGAAGTTTTGCTTATCAAAAAATAAATAAATAAAACAAATCATAAAGTTAATCAAAACGAGGAGGGCCTGAACATATCAATCTAGCCAATGAAAAATCTAGTGTCAAATCTGGGCACACGCACCATCACTCATTCGCATAACAGCCAATTTAGCTGATGAATAAACGGCTCCGCTGAGTGCTTTGATGTTGGCCTATGTTCGATTTCCATAAATTTAATTTTGGAGGACATGTTCAATGATCACCTTTAACCCCTGACAGACTTCTGTCCCTTTGCTCTTATTACTGGCACTAACGGAAGGCCTTCGAGGGCCAAGTGGGATTTGTGGGCGTTTTGTGCCGGCACACACGTAGCATTTAGGTTAATTACTTGGCACTTACTAGAGAAAGCTACAAATCACAGGGCGAGAGATCTGCTGATTTCCTTGAGGGTCTCAGGGCAAGAAAGTCAATGAGTCAATAACATGGCTAGGCTCTATCTCTTCATTGAAGTGTTGTTTTTATTAACTAAAACTATTGAAAGTTTTTCGGCATACTCTTACTCTATGCAATTGGACCCTATTATACCTGTCCTGCACTCTAAAAAATGATGTGTTGAATTTACTTAAAATATATATGCATTATTTTTGCATCATACTTTTTAAGTAATCCCAACTTGGAATAATTTTACTTAAAATTAACAAGAAAATCTTTCTTTATATTTACTTAATTATTTGAGTTCACGCAACATTCTTTACTTAAAAATGTATGCATCATGTTACATATATTTTTAAGTAAAGAATGTCACGTGAACTCAAATATTTAAGTTTATCTTATGTAAAATTATTCCAAGTTAAAAATGTACTTAATTAAATGATTACGGAGTACTTAAAAAGTATGACGCAAAAATGGTGCATATATCTTTTAAGTAAATCCAACACAGTGCAGGCCATGTGAGATCAAAACAAATCTTAGTTCTGTTAACTTAACATTTAAGCTCATTTATATATAAAAATAAGACAATTAAATCAGTTGAACCAACCATTTTAACTTATTTTAGATCTTCAGCTTACATGTCTTAAAATAAATTAAACATGCAAATCACACACAATAAAGCATTTCACTTTATTATTTATTTTTTTTACCCACAACTTTTAAATTGCATCTTAAAATATATTAAAATAGAAAATAGTTGTTAAAATAATAATATGGTCACAATATTACAGTTTTTTCTTGGATCAAAGAAATGAAGGCTTGGTGGGCAGAAGATATATAGGCCTATATATTTTTTTTTTCTTCAAAAATCAATAAAAAACAATTAAATGTAACAAAGTCCATTATTAAATGCCTATAAATATAAAAATTAGTCTATTAATGTCTATCAATTTAAACAAAACAGAAGTTAATTAATGACTTTTGTCCAGAGGTTTTGAACGAATCTCTTCAAAAACATTTTAACAGTAACTGGGTTGTTTTAACTCAACTTTGGGTCAAATATGGACAAACCCAAACATTGGGTTAAAAATATAATTAAAAAACGTAACCCAATGGCTGGGGTTGTCCATATTTGACCCAATGTTGGGTTAAAACAACCCCGTGATTTTTAGAGTGTGGGTATCCTGAGTTGCAAAAAAAGTAAAATCCCTTACAAATGATGCTTTTAAGAATGCCGGCACTGGTAAAACAGCTGAGATATTAAAGATATAAGTGTTTCTTGCAACTACAAAAAAAAATATTTAGACAAAACACACGTGGGATATGCTAACCAGTCAAGCATTGACTGTACAACATTTTTTCAAAGCTGTATATTTCACTCATCACTTCATTAGTTCCACCTTGCCTCGGGCAGCAAAGAAAACAAAATGCATTTAAAAAAGAAAAAGCGCTATGATCAATTTCTTTACGTACCGTTTTCAAGGAAAAGAAAAAAGGCTACAGAACTCAGCATGCCAGTCAACAAAATTCCCCATGAAACCTGTATAAGTGTGATTCATGGTGAATTTGAGAGGGGAAGTGTCCTATTTGCATATAATGAAAGTCAAATGATAAGAATTCATTAATGCAATAAGCACACATTCTTTTTGGATGTCAAACATGCAGAATAACAGCAAGGAAAGGCTGCCTAGTAAACATATTCCCTTGAAATATCTCCTCTGTGCCCGGGGGGAATGTGTATTTACCCTCACCGGATTGTCAACTTCTTTATTTATTACTTTGAAAGAATAATGTATACTGTGTAGTTTCTCTTATTGTTATTGTTTTCTTAGTGTAACTTTCACTGTAGTCAATTGAAAGGCAAAAAAGGTTTCAACTTTAAGTAACTTTTTTTTCTTTTACCATAATTCATAGTCAGCTATTGGAACACACTAATACTTTGTTTGACCCCATTTTGCCTTCAGAACTGCTTTAATTGTACGAGGCACTGATTCAACAAGGTGCTGAAAGCATTTTTTAGAAATGTTGGCCCATATTGATAGAATGGCATCTTGCAGTTGATGGAGATTTGTGGGATGTACATCCAGGGCATGAAGCTCCCATTCAACCACATCCCAAAGATTCTCTATTGGGTTGAGATCTGGTGACTGTTGGGGCCATTTTAGGACTGTCAACTCATTGTCATGCTCAGTGGTGGAGGAAGTACTGAATCTCAGTACTTAAGTAAAAGTACAAATAACCTTTAGTAAAAGTAGAAGTAACACAATGACAACGATACTTAAGTAAAAATTAAAAAGTACCTGATTTTCAATGTACTTTAAGTATTAAAAGTAAAAGTACTTGCATAACAATTGATTCTCTTAATGACTATTTTCTAATGATTAATTTAATTCTAACTCATTCAACCTAATACTCCTATAATGATGTTCAATAATGATGGAAAAAAAATTGTTGTCACCATTTCTGAAACAAGCTTGCAATAGGCAATATAAACCATGCTTATCCTTACAATAGGTTAATAACTATGTTTGGCAGTAAACGCGATTAATTTATGGTGTAATTCTGAACCTCTTGGCTTGCCATAATCCTAACCAAACGTATATTATAGACGGCGTGTTTCCCCACGTAAAAACAAATTTTCGCGCATAAATTGCATGATAAACACACTGCGTGCGAGACGCATTAAGTTGATGTATCTATGGCAACCAAACGTCACTGGTGAGACAAACGTGCAACGAACGGACGGTCAGATTACGTTTTGGCAGGGGAAAAACTGATCAGAAAATGTAATGAAAATGTAACAGAAGTTGTAGAAATGTAGTGGAGTAGAAAGTATAATAATTGCTGCAAAATGTAACGAAGTAAAAGTAATTTATTCTACTTAAGTAAAGTAAAGATACGTGAAAAATGTACTTATTAAGTAAAGTAACAAAGTATTTGTACTTCGTTACATTCCACCACTGGTCATGTTCAAGAAACCAATTTGAAATGATTTGAGCTTTGTGACATGGTGCATTATCCTGCTGGAAGTAGCCATCAGAGGATGGGTACATGATGGCTATAAAGGGATGGACATGGTCAGAAACAATTCCCAGGTAGGCCGTGGCATTTAAACGATGCCCAATTGGCACTAAAGTGTGCCAAGAAAACATCCCCCACAAACACCAAATTCTGCCTCTACCATCTGAATGTCTCAACAGAAATCGAGACTCATGAGACCGGGCAACATTTTTCCAGTCTTCAACTGTCCAATTTTGGTGAGCTCTTGCAAACTGTAGCCTCTTTTTCCTATTTGTAGTGTAGATGAGTGGTACCCGGTGGGGTCTTCTGCTGTTGTAGCCCATCCGCCTCAAGGTTGTGCGTGTTGTGGCTTCACAAATTGGTTGTAACGAGTGGTTATTTCAGTCAAAGTTGCTCTTCTATCAGCTTGAATCAGTCGGCCCATTCTCCTCTGACCTCTAGCATCATCAGGGCATTTTCTTCCACAGGACTGCCGCATACTGGATGTTTTTCCCTTTTCACACCGTTCTTTGTAAACCCTAGAAATGGTTGTGCGTTAAAATCCCAGTAACTGAGCAGATTGTGAAATACTCAGACACCAACAACCATGCCACGCTCAAAATTGCTTAAATCACCTTTCTTTCCCATTCTGACATTCAGTTTGGAGTTTAAGAGATTGTCTTGACCAGGACCACACCCCTAAATGCATTGAAGCAACTGCCATGTGATTTAGATAATTGCATTAATGAGAATCCTTTAGGTGAGTCTATATGAGCTTTCTTCTTTAAACGTAGCTAGCATTTGCTCAACAGTCAGTAAAATAAGTCCATTCATGAGTATTCAGTCATTTTCTGTAATTGTAAGCTTCATTTTTAGTCATCTTATACTATAAATCATTTGATTGAAAGTTTAACGCGGCATGCAATGGTCATTTGCCTTATCTCAGGTTTAGCAAGAAACTTGCTGTAGTGTGAAAAGATCATAAACTATGCATGAAAGATAATTCATGTCATGTATTGAATGCAAAACCTGAAGTCTTTTGTTGAGATGTATTAAAAGGGGCCTCGCTGTCATCTGATTAAAAATTTGATTTCATTCATCAAATTGTCTTAATTACTGCTGACTTGAACGTCCTTGAAAAGCTACCCAGTGTAGATTACATGTATTTTCATCTAGATGATTAATGACAAGATTTATTCATTGCGAAAAGTGCCTGGCTGTCTTCAAAGACATTCGATGTGGAGCAGTAATTTGATTCAATTACTGCCAAGTGCTTCACAAAGGCAAAATCAATTCAGTGGGGCTCTCACAAATATAGCTGTACATATTCCTATTAACAAAAGTCGCTTGAAAGCCTCTGTTTCGATTGGGTG